ATCTTCATAACTACATGTTTAACCTCATCTCCACTTTTACTTAAAATATTTGAACCTTCTAATTCAACATCAACTTCATACAATTCCAACAATTTCTTTATAAATTCTGCACAAAACAAATACTTTTCAAGTTTAACCATATTATTATCAGATAATAAACTTTTTTGTTGAATATTAACTCCACTTTTTCTTTCAGTTTCTAATGCAGTAATTGCACTTGTATTCATTATCTTTTCAAGTAACTTCTCAAGAAATGTACTTATTTTATCCACACTATTAGATAAAATACTTAAATCATCCTGATAAAAAGAACTAATCAAACCCATTGTTAAATCTGATAAAGTTAAATCTTTCAAGTTTGAATTTTTTACATCAAAGTGTTGAATTGCATGATCTGATAATATCTCATCACGTGATAACTTTGATTTACAGGTATTTATTGCATGAATTAACTTATTAAGTAAATTTGGAATATAACTCAACATGTTTGAATTTACCATAATTAACTGTAATTGTAGATGTCTATAATAAAGTAATGATAATACAGACTGATGACATGTTTTACCATCAACTAATTTTAAATCTTTATCTATTAATTCTTTTAATGAATTTTCACTTGTTGATTTAATATTAATTTTATATTTGTTATCAACTTTAATCTGCTTTAATTTTATCATATTCACCACTAATACACTTAATAACTGGTTTAACTGGAATAATAATTGGGTGCATTTAACTTTATATTGATTTCTTAATTGTGATTTAGTAACTTGTTTCATCCTACTCATAATGTATTTATAACTTCTCATAAGTTGTAAAATTTTGCTAAAAAACATTAGAAACATATTTGTATTCAAATTTTTTGCAATATTGAACTGGTTTACACCTACAATCCATTTAATTTGCTCTATAAATGTTGTATTTGCTAGATTTTTGTAATATTCAGAAGGTAATCTTGATATAGTAGGAAATAAATTTTCATCAAAACTAACTTTTAAATCTTCACTATTAACTGTCCATGTTAATTCAATACATTTTCTGTATACAAATTTAAGTACATCCATTATTTGAATATGTATAATATATTTTTTAAATGCACCATTATTATTATTATGAAAATAATCCAAAATTCTCTTAATTGATAAATTATCAAAAAGTTTAAATTCATCCAATTCATTTTTAAGCATATTAAAACTTAAAGATTCACATATTGAAGGTAATGAAACTGCAATAAAACCATTTGAACCTTTATCATATAAACAAATCATTTGAATTGATTCAGTAAATAATAATGATTTATTTAATATACTTAAAGTATTTTTAAGTAATTTAATTCTTGTATCTAAAAATGGATCACCATTTCCTGTTTCAATTATACCATCTCTTTCTTTATTTAACTTATCAAGCTTTTGAGATTTAGTATAATATTGTGATTTTAAACTTTTTTGTATTTTTTCAATCTTTATTAAAAATACATCATCCAAACACTGTTTAGTATTAAAATCAATCATAATTTTTAATAATTCTGAAATAGATTGCAATAATTTATCAGTAAAATAATCAAGACTTTTTGGTTGAAAATAAATCATTACTAAATCTTCAACATCAATTGTTCTTTGTTTTTGGGATTCAATATGTAACTCATGCTTATTTATGCTTATTCCTGATTCTAATGCCTGTTGTAGCCTTTGATTTCTTCTCATTTCTCTTTCATGTATTTTATCTTTACGTCTTCTTTGTAAATCAGCAGTATCTTCTTGTGATTTATTCTTATAGGGAGTTAAAAATGGTCTATATATAACATCTTTATTTACTTTTTCTCCTTTTAAAATAGCTTTTCTGTGTTTACATTTATCTAATTTAAATTCATATTCAATAATCTTAGAAGCCAATTCTTTCATTTTTAATCGTAATCTTTTAATTGCATTTGCTCTTTGTTCACATTTATTACATCTATTTCCTTTTTGTTTTTTAGTATTAATGTCATTTCTGCATGAATGTGAATCATAATTAGCTCTTATTGATCTTGAATTTTTTTTATATTCTTCAAATTCTTGTGTTAATTTCTTAATTTCTTTTTCTAATTCAGAGATCAATGTTTCTAGCTGATTTAGTTGAAGATGGCTTAAAACCCAGTGTGTTATTTCACTATTTATTGTTAATTTTGGATGGCTTTTAAATCCTGGTAATTGCAAATAAGATAAAGGATGTATATCAGGATTTACTTTATTTTTAAATAAAACATCAGTTTTTTCATGATTATTTACCAATCCTATTAGTAGCAGAAGAAATATATATAACCAATTAAACATTTTTTTTTTAAATTCTGAAATTCTTATTAATGTTATTTAAAATATAATAAATATCAAATCTTTTCTCTTGTAATTTTATTACTTTATTATAATTTTGAAAAATAATAATAATAATAATCTTAATAATAAGTTAAAAATATATTATAAATTTGATGTTTTGAGAAAACCCCCATATAATAAAATATATAATAAATATACCCAAAAATCCAATCCAATTCAACAAGAATATGAGACTATCAGTATTTTTTGAAAAGTCTCAAATCTCATCTTATTGTTTTTGTATTTTTAAAAATTTTTATTTTTTGGATTCCAATTTTTTTTTGTCATAAGCGCCAATAATTTTTAATTATTATTGCATGCAATAGAATCTTTTAATTTCCCCACAACTGGATTAACACTGTGTTTAAAAATTCCCGCCATTTAAATTGTATTGAATTAATTTAGTAAAATTCAGATAATATTATTCAAATAAATCAATTCATAACATTTAGACTGAAGGGAATGTATATCTTTTTTTTTACTAATTGATTAATAATTAGTTTTTTTCTCTAAATAAATTATCAATTATATTTGGCCCACCTAAATGAGTTGTCCATAAACAATATATTAATTATATAATAAAATAATTGGCGGGTTTTGCTATCACAATAAATAATAATCAAAATTTGACAATTATAATTTTAAATTTCATTAATCTTGAAAGAAGTTTTAAAAACTAGAACTCATATATATATATAATAAACAAATAAAAAACTAGGTTTAATTTGTTAATAAACAGTTGATTTATTAATTATATTTTTTATAAAGAGTAATTCTCAAATTCCTAATAATATAATCTACCACAAAAGATAATGTAATTTCCCTGCCACCCTCCCCCTCTTTTTCTTTGATTCAGCTTGGGAAAAAAAAAGAATAAGGATCTGAAAAAAATTTTAAATAAATTATTTTAATATATTATTATCTTTTTTGAAATAATTTAGACATTTATAAAATGATACTACATGCATGCATATATGTAAATATATGGCTCGCATCCACATGTGTATAGTATTATTATTATGCATGCATGTTTACATCCACACATAAATATATATTATCGCATGTTATTACTTTTATCTATTATATTTTGAGGTATTCAAGTCTCCTTGATATTAACAAATTCGATCATTTAAAATCCTAATTTTTTTATTAATAAAATATAAAAATAGAAAAAAGGTCATATTTTTTTTCATTTAATAAATTTTAGACACTAAATATAAATTATTTTTCATTCTCCCTTTCTATACTGACTATTAGTATTAGTGTTTAAAAACCAAATTTTTATTTATTTAAGCAAAGTTTTACATACTTTTACATAATAAATATGTAAATATTTCATTTCTCTTATTATTTTTACGGATTAGAAAGATTATTGGTTACTATTAAATGATCTAATCTGAAAGTAATCGAAATTTTCGCATTAATAATTTATCTATTTTTTCATGTTTTGTATACAATAACCAACTAAAGCTTGTAATGCAGCAATTACTTTTTCCATGTTAGTAATATCTTTATCAATTGATTTTCGTGAATTGCATACAAAACAATTGTTACAAGATGATCTATTTGTTGAGCATCTTGCAGCTGGTCCTTTCACGAATTTTTCCAAGGCTTTCAAATGAGCTAAATCTGCTCTAGATACATTGAGTAAAAATTGTAATTCATTTAAGGATTCAATTGTGCAACCAACTTGAACTAACTTTGAAAACTTTTGAATAGTACTTAATGATAATTTTGATTGATCCACACTATTTTGATCCAATTTTCCATTTGTAAACTTTAGTTGTATTTTTGGACCAACAGATGGAGACATTGGTTGTGATGGTGCAGGTGGTAATGGTTTTGGTACTGGTGCTGGTGGTAATGGTGCTGGTACTGGTGTTGGTGGTAATGGTGTTGGTGGTACTGGTGCTGGTGGTAATGGCGATGTTGGAAACATTGGTGGAATATTTGCTTGAGAAATTGCCTCTTTTAACATCTTAATCAGCTCTATCTTATTATTATTTGAAGCCAATACTAAATCTTCCAAATTCAAAGGATTTTGAGCCACAGCAGAATAGTCCAAATATTTAGTGTAAACTTCCAAATCATTCAACAGATTTTCGTCAAGTCTTAATTCTTGCTGAGTTACCACATTTGTTTTTAAAGTAGGTTTGGGAAGCAATTGTTTTGGTCTAGCACCAGGATCTCGTCTTCCATCAGCTCCCCCAGTTGTTCCTGATGGAGATAATATCGATGAAGCTAGTGGATATGAAGGCTTTTTTGGTCGACCAGTAGCCGATTCTTCTTGAGGTGGCAAAGGACTTGGTTCGGTAAGTTTTTTTGGTAGTAGTGATTTCTCTGAGCCTTTATCATCCTTATTCATCATGGCAATAGCTTCATCCAAAGTCTGCATAAGATTCTCCTTTTTGTCATTTCCTGGAATTGCAATTAAATCATACAATTCCAAAGGAGTATTTTTATCCAAGACTAAACTCCTGTACAAAAGGTACTTGTTCAATATTTCTTCATCTTTTAATAAGTGTTCATTCTCAATACCTACACCCCCAACTGCTCCTTCCTCTTCACCAGCCCCGCCAGGACCATCACCACCTCCAGGCTTTTCACTGATATTGCTTTGATTCTCACCTAATAAATCTTGATTTAATTTAGCAAGTAAACTCAACACTTTTGTTTTATCATAATCCGAAATTTCAACAATTTCAATCAAATTTAAAGGATTTTGAGCAATAGAACTGTACAAAGAATATGAACTCAAAATTTCTTCATCAGATGTAAGAATATTTACTAAATCTATATTCTCTTCATCTGATTCCTGCGTTTTTTTATTAACATCATTTTCTTCCTCTTTTCTTTCTAAACTTTGAATTATTTCTTTTAGATAATCAATTTTGGAAAATTTATTTGCATTTGCTAAACTCTCAATTTCTTCCATTGTTAAGGGATTCGCACCATTTGCCAAACTCAAGTAAATACCATATAAAGTATTCAATTCTTCTTCATCATCCATTTCTGTATTTTTTAATTGATCAATAGCAGATTCAGATTTAAATGGCAAACCCATTTTTGAATAAAATTCTTTAATATTAGACTCTCTTACTTTCATATTTGATTCAAAATCACTTAAAACACTTAAAACTTTATAATATAACCCAGTATCTGAATATTTTAAATTATTAAAATCATCACAAATCTCAAACAATAGTGTATTTCTTCTAGTTGATGCTTTCAATATTAACAGTTCTTTTTTTAACCTAGATTTATTTTTATTATGATTTTTCATCTTATTTAATCCTTCCTTTAAACTCTTTATTTTTAACTTATCGTTTTTTATAAATTCTAAAACATCTTTTAAGTCTACATTATCACAATAGAATGGAATAATACTACTATCAACAAATGATGGATGTAATGATTGTAATATTGTTGCTTTCTCTCCTTTAAGACCTGCTATATGTATCCAAGGTACTTTATATTTATTTATATTTCTACATTTTTCCAAATAAGATTGCAATTTTTTTAATAAATTTGATAATACATTTGAAATAGCATCTTTCATTAAAAGATCTCCTTCAATACCATTTATCCCTGTACTCAATAAATTTAGTCTATTTAATAATTCCTTTACAGTTTCTATTCTTGAATTTATTATAAATAACATTTTTATATTACACCCTTGTAAATATTGTATTGCTGCTTCTACATGTTTTGGTAATAACAATGATGTTAATTCCTCAGAGAATGCAATCACATTACTAGAAAAATCATGTTCTAATAGTGAATATAAATCCAAATTATCCACTATCTCCTGCTCTGGGGTTGTTCCTGGAATTTCAACTGTTAACAAGAAATCATCATCTTCTTCATTCTCTATTTGAATAGGAACTTCCTCCGTTATTAAAGGCTGATCTGAAATTAATTTACTCTTACCTTCTTCCCCTGGTTCAGATCCACCACCAAAATCATCTAATAATGTCATTTTCCCAGTTGAAATGTCAAAGAAATATGAATAACTTCCACTTTTTAATAAAAAGTCAAAACCAAATAACTGATAATCTGTCATCATCCTATCTTCCAATGGGAATTGAGGAAAAATGAAATCCATCAGTTGTGGATATGAACTCCACTCTACAGTCTCAAACCTTGGCTCTTGTTTATTTTCTAATGATTTATACAGGTTCAAAATTCCAAATCTGTGACAGTATTTTACAATACCATGATAAACTATATTTAAGGATTTAAAGAAATTAATATCGGAATTCATTGAACTAGAGCCAGACTGAGCATCTTTCATCATCTTTTCAATGTTAGCCAATTCTGATTGAATCCTTTTTAAAAAATATTCAGTACATATTGTTGG